TTAGGTTAGGTTAGGTTAGGTTAGGTTGTGTTAGGTTAGGTTAGGTTGTGTTAGCTTAGGTTAGGTTGGGTTGGTTCTTCGAAAGCGTCGCTACCTTTAGCGTCGATTGTCTAGTATTATTAAGAACGTCATACCATAGTTATATGCGTCTTCTGGCGTCTTTTGATGACGTCACTAGGCATCGCGACGCTAGGCGTCGGTTTTTACCTGAGTATTCATTGTCATCTAGGAACTTCTGTGCGTCAATTTTCGGTTATTTACAGGCGTCGCGAGGATAGGCGTCGCGACGCTGGGCGTCGATTTTCTAAAGTAGCTCCGAATTGTATTCTATGTGTCTGAGAATGTTTCCAGCGTTTTTGCGGTGGAAGTCGTCGCGACGCTCGGCGTCGGTTTTCTGGTATGTATCCAATATCATCAGGAGACTTGTCCGCTGTGATTTTGGCGTCTCTCGAGGGCGTCGTGATGTTCGGCGTCGATTCACTAACTTCCTCACCAGTGATGTTACAAGGTCTCCATCTATCTTTCTGACGTTGGGTTAGGTTAGGTTAGGTGGTTAGGTTGGGTTAGGTTAGGTTAGGTTGTGTTAGGTTAGGTTAGGTTAGGTTAGGTTGTGTTAGCTTAGGTTAGGTTGGGTTGGTTCTTCGAAAGCGTCGCTACCTTTAGCGTCGATTGTCTAGTATTATTAAGAACGTCATACCATAGTTATATGCGTCTTCTGGCGTCTTTTGATGACGTCACTAGGCGTCGCGACGCTCGGCGTCGGTTTTGTACTTGAGTATTCATTGTCATCTAGGAACTTCTGTACTGTCAATTTTCAGTTGTTTGCAGGCTATGCGAGAATAGGCGCCGCGACGCCGGGCGTCTATTTTCTGAAGTCGCCCGAATGGTATTCTAAGGTTCTGAGGAATATTTCTGTGTTCCTGTGTTGTCGTCCCTTGCGACAGGCGTCGCTACGCTTGGCGTCTGGTTTCTGGTGACGTCTCCAGTTTCATCAGGGGAGTTATCAGCTTTAAATTTGGCGTATCTTCAGGGTGACGCGTTGTTCGTCTTCGCTATGCTTGGCGTCTTTTCTCTAAGATCGTGCCCAGTGATGTTGCAACGTCTCCTGTCGTGTTTCAGGCGTTAAAACTCTGAACGTCACTATGCCAAAGATTGCGATGCCTCTGATAGGCGCAAGTTGACGTCTTTCAAGTCTTATGTTGACCTTGAGTACTAAGGTATAGAACCGACGCGTATCGTCTCGAAACCCTTTTTCGCTACGCATTGACAAGACGCCAGAAATGTGACTAATGACGTCATAGTATATTTGGGAGTGATGCCAGGAAGTCGCCGCCAGTCGTCGCGTCGCCTTATATCGGGGCGTCGTTAAATGACCGAATTTGATCGTCTCGATGTGTCTCGTCGCAACGCCAATAGACGACGCGACTTCTTGGAAGGACTCATTTTTTTTACTGTGTTTCATTTTTCCATCGTGCTAGTTTCCGAGGTACGAGAAAGCCTTTAGCGGGAATTGAACTCAGGTCACTTTTTGTTGAGTTTTGTCTCCCTGTTACCTTCATGAAAGGTGAGTGCCAAGTTTCGTTAAAATAAATTTACTTGAGTTTTGTCTCCCTGTTACCTTCATTAAAGGTGAGTGCCAAGTTTCGTTTAAATAAATTTATAATTTTTCGAGCATAATCGAACAAAAGCATAAACTGTCGGTTTCTACTTCTATCTAATCGAATGCAATTCAGGCCACTCCACGAGTAACATAATCTTATACAATCATCGAGAAACAGTCGCCCCCACAAAATTCTGTGTCACTGAGTTATAATTTTTCGTATGAGTACAGAAACGCGGGATGATTTATGGCCAGACGAAGAGGATTATTGATCACTCTGATGTCAACATCTACTGATTCACTGTTTACACTGACATGATGCATTGCTTTGTCCACTTCTAAAGGGACCGTCTCTTCAGTAATTAGAACAATCAAACTGCTATCCTTTCTCCCATTCCTTCTTTGCGACAGAATGTCTGTCCTGTTTTTAAATTAAAAAGGGAACTATATTTGGCACTGTTCTGCGCTTGATTTCCGTTTTCCCCACCGCGAGTAACTAACTGGAATGCGAAACACGTGATTAAAGCAACAAAGTAACTTCATAGAACATGGAAACTCTTTAGAAGATGATAGTTGCTTATCTTGTAAGAGAAATAAATACATGGAATTAGAATTGAAAATTCCAGTCCTGGTTTCTCTCCTTTCTGATGCGTTCAGTGGCTACAATTTCTCGAACATTGGGTTTGAAACCCGCCTGAAGCACGAACGTACGTTCGTGTCTTTGTTTGTTTGTTTGTGTATTATGCTGTTCTTTGTAGTTAGATGCCATTTGCCATTTTAATTAAATTATTACTTCTAGCTAGAAATATTAAATTCGGTATCGAGCATCATTCTGCATAGGGCTACTGAGATCGAAAGAGGAAAATATTGTTATATATTTTTTTAATAATAATAATAAACCAATTTCGGGTAAAACATTTTTTTTTCCCAAAACTAACATGTGGGTCATTCCACATATACAAGAAGATCATATAAATTCATAAATAACAATTTATTAACGAATTACCATAATTTATGTTGCAAACTAAATTTAAATCAATGTGACGTCAGGGATCTGAAATTCTCACGGCAGTAAAGGTCTCGACTGTAAACTGAGTCCCGACGTAAAGGTCACATGACATCACAATCCAGAAGACCGTGGTCTGTGCGATGTGACGTCATTGAAATATATACGTATCAGTTTATTGAACGTAGTACTGAAACAATGTAAATTTCTTTAAGTTTATACTCCTCAGACATGAACACAGTAATGGTAACAAAGAGTCACACGATTTAATCTTTTACAAGTTTACAGTTTAATGTTAATGTCAGTCTGACCTCCTTCTTAGCCGTCTTTTAGAAACTTTTCTATATGAAGAAATGTAGTTATTCTGTCAGGACGATTCACTACGAGGTCCACTAGGTACATTGACCTGAGATTTTTGTTTGAGTAGATGAACACTGTGTTGAGGTTCGTTTTGTTTGTAAACCATAGATTGTTCTGCAAACCCTTGATCCTCCGGAGCGCTCCATACGCCACTCTCACATAACGGAATTTCGCTCACAGTCTGAGCAAATCTCACCCGAGTTGCCTTCCTGATGTTCACCGAAAAATTTCTCTCATTTATTGCCACTAAAGATTCTTGAGTATCACCGCGTGTTATTGATAATTCGCCGCTACTATCACCAGTCAAATCATCACTTACTTGTAGATCCTTTTCGGCAAGTGTTTCTTCAACGAACACTGGAAGCCGTGATCCCCGACTTACAATTTGTTGTAAAATTTGGTTGGAGACCTTCTTAGTCGGCGTTGAAACTATTAAAGCGACGTCACAGAACTGGCATAGAAATCTTGGTTCAACCGTCCAGCACTGTTCCTTACCCCCCGCTGTACCTATATCATCAGCTCCTGTCTCATTTATGTAATAGCTGCCCTCTAATCTGTCATCAATAAATCTCAAGTGGAGACCTTCAGATGTAGCGAAAAGAACAGGTGTCCTGTAATGAGCTATCCTTGTATACTTTTCCTTCTTGGTTTGATTTATTTTTCTTGAAGCCTGCTTCATTTTTTGGATGTTAAGTCCTTGATCTGATAGCTGCTCTCTTTTCTCGACACAAGCAGATATAGATCTAGGATTTTCCAATTGGACAACAGCATTATTTCTACAGCAACAACAGCAAAACATGTGTTCACACTTTTTACGTACCTCTTTGTGAACAGCTATTACAACTATGGGTATCAGAACTGTGAACTTATATCGAAACCAAACTAACACACAATCGTATGTCCCGGTCGGGACTGGTGTCAGTTCTGTTAATGAACTGTTCCTTGGCGCTGAGCTATCTTGAAGGGCTGGAACTGCTGTTAGGGAGTATATGTTGACACACAATACGTGAGGAACGATTAGAATGGTATAAAGAAAGAGCAGTATGGAACTCAAGAAATAAAACTTCACTTCTTCCCACGATAAGGGCCCAGGACTTCCCAACCAGTCACTCCACGACGTCTGGTATGAAGAAGGATAAATTAGCGTATTAGAATTGCCAATTCCTTGACTTCTCTGGATGGCCGCCTCTTCGAGTTTTTGTTGACGTCGTCTGGCATAAATAATATGACGGATAATTACAGTGGTGATTACTAAGATGGTTATCCAGGGAAGTACGTGTCCTAGTAACAGCAGTGACAAGGGGTAGAGAAGGTCTTCGGAGCCCTCTGACGTTGGTACGATCCAACACGAATATCTGAAAACGAATCACGAAGACTTAGCCCGCTGTTTGTACAGAATGTCGAGAAGTCGATGTTGGATTGTGACGCCGTGTGGACTTGTACGTCGGTATCATTTGAACCTGAAGATGGATGCATTAAATTCCTCCGAAACTTTGGCATTTTAAGTGAAGGGCTTTGGCGAAAACATAAATTATTGCTTTCTTTGTTTTGGATATTATCAAATATGTTACTTTAAAATCTTGGTACCTTAAGAAATCGCTACGTTTCGAACAAATGGAAATTTCTCAGTATTCAGGTAGAAAAATGACGACGTAAGAAGTTTTACCCTTCGAAAAGTAGTGATATTCTAAGGATTTAAGATGTTTTAAGATTATGTATGAAGTCCGTTTGTATCTTCTTGTAAGTCAATACGATGTCACAACCCAGAAGAACATCATTTGCATTTCCACAGCCGTCAGAACTTGAAGTTCCGGGTTAGATAAAAGGCGGTGAATTTATTGGTTAACTAAGCGTATTATTATCTTCTCAAATGGGACACATGGAGTTGGTAAACAACATGAGCATGAGACTGAAGCACCAACCTGTCGGGAAAGGGTCGCACGTCCACAATATGTGACGTCACGGCGATTGGAGCGACGAGGGCAGTGCCGTACAGCCACATGAGCGCCGGGAGGAATCTTATGACGCAATTTCTCGGGTCGCTTTTAGGATTTTCCCCTCGACGGAGCATGATGGCCCGATCCACAACTAGTGCCGCCATCGCCACGCTTTGGATCGCCGTCGTCCATTGCGTCAGGGTCGCGTTCACACGACAAGCCAGTGACATTATTGAACCGTACTTAGGTGGTATTTCCAGATCTGCAAAAGTGGTCAGGAACATCTGTTACAACGACAGGGAATGTACCTGGTTAGATGCCTATTCGACGCCAAGTGACCTTTGTCATTCCACAGCCTACGAATGGAAAAATTATACCATCTGCCAGGAGCAAGTGATAATCAGAATGATTACCCCTAGGACGTCTATCTTCTGGGATGCTGCACCGTGTTGATCCACAGATCACCGATGCTTGAGAGATGCTACCTTCATCATTACAGCAGTGAGATCACTCAGAGTCAGTTATCTGGCGTACGTATCTTACGACGCCCTGAGACTCGTCCTTATTACATTTGTAATCTCTTAGTGTCGTCGTCTAGCGTCACCGGTCTCCTGTGAGCTTTATGCAAAAAAATTTCTTCGGCGTCGAGACGACCGGCGTCGCTCGACGTAGAGTTGACAGCGTCGTTTAGTGTTTCATCCGCATTTTTGTGTTCACTTCATAATTCATCTTGTGTTGGCGTCGGAATTATCTGCGTCGCAATGATCCATAAAAGACATTATTTTATTTTTATTTATTTAGTGTTCTGTGTGACGACAGGTCCATATGAACAGGATCCTTCCATCCTTTTCTCGGACTGGGACCTGTTCATATACGTTTTTGGCAGATGATCCAGAAGTGGTTTGCCGTTGCCTTCTTCTGTGTGTGAATGGAGTAATTGTTGGGATGCCACGGAGAAACCGGGGAAGCCCCCGGAGGAAAACTCCGTGTTGCCTAGACCACGGCCTTGCCCAACACAAGTTATAAATTCGGGCACCGCCGGGAATCGAACCCGAGACCCCAGGATTACAAGGCCAGCGTAAAATTAATTCAAAGTAGAAATTATTTTCCATGGAGCTTTGTCTTTTTAAATCGTAACGACTTAAAACAAATTATATTACACTCAAATTTATTCGTTGGGAGGCAGTTCGTGGTGATATTATTTACAGATGTTTAAATTCCCTAGTTTAATGAATGTTGGTGTGAAAATGGTAAACGTAGGAATGCTTGTTACTAGGAATTCCATACTCGAGTTCTCATCGAACACGCAACGTTGCGCACGCGAGGTTTAATGAAACTACCCTCGTCTAATTGACGGAGGTTATCATGGCAACCGTTGAAACAACACACACGTTCACAGATATTTTCAGGCGAGGCTCAAAATCCCTTAATAATAATAAATGCTCACAGATCAACACTGCTCATTACATAGAAAGACTGTGGAATTATTTGTCGAAAGTCCATACTGAGAGAAATATGTAATATTTTGGTAATGAGGTAAGGTACGACTTACGTGTAACTGTTACGAAGCCGACTGCTGCTAGCAGGTTGAGGACACATTCCAGGGCGCAAATTGCACACAAGTGGAGGAGAATTCGATTGAAGAATATTCGACGTAGCACTGGACATGTGATGATAGTTATAGCTAGAATCAGGTTGAGGCAAAGCCCGAGACTGAAGTCTAACACTAAAAAGAACCCAGGAACAACAGGTGGGACGGGCCCATCCTGAACGAGTTGAACCACCGAACCATTGTTCTTCATTATAAGCGTGTACTTCTTATCCATGATGGTTTTCTGCAGTAGAACTGACCAATCAGATGTTCATCTTTTCATTACGTCACGACACCTTGTGGTCTTGTATTTGTAAAGAACGTTTGTCTGTGGATATATTCAAGGACATTTGAATCAGAATTATAAATTTTGAAACCTACTAACAACCACATTACTTTAAACCCCTCAGGGGTTCAGAGCGTAAAATGAAATATAAGCGAAATGACTTTACCTCTGGTTTAAAATATGTTTATGGCTTCAAAACAATTTGTGACATCCTTACTTGTTTTCGTTGTGTTCACCGTGAAGCAATTCCTGGTAACCGGTATTCAGACAGAGGAATGTCACGCTCTGTTGTGAGTGCTGAATGTTTGTAACAACCCACAAGCCGTCACAGAACTGAACAGTAAAATAAGTGCCTTATGGTTGTTGTGTTTGGTCTCCATGACTACCACCGCGATCAATGCGACGCCAGTGCAAATCGACGACGACAAAACATGCGCACGACATCCGAAAAGCAAAGACTAAGTTATCGTCGTACCACCAGGGTGTAATAATACACGTCATAGGAAGTTCATAAGTTATGTATGAAGGAGACACTAAAACCATGTCAATTGTACATACAACACAAAAAGTACAGCAACATATGTTGCATTTGATGTCAAATTCTGTTAAAATTAGATTATGTTACCGAAACCTTATAATTTGTTGCAAATTTATCCTTTAAAGCTGTGTTAAATATATATATATATAAAGGGTTAACCAGTTGATCTTCGTAATGGTGAAGTGAGGTGTTTACTTCGCGGTACGGACTGAATTCTTAAATATTATTTAGACGAGCTTTGGCTTCAAACCATTCGCGGTACGGACTGAGTTCTTAAATATTATTTAGATGAGCTTCGGCTTCGAAGGGTTGATATTATGTATAATAATTTTTATTTTAATGTCATTAGGAGCATCAATATCATATCCGCGGTTACGATAGAAGCTGCCGCGCAGATCCACTGATTTGCTCGCGCAGTTTCTGTGTCTCGCTCAACCATTTTGACCTCAGGGAATATAAATTAAGGGCCCTCATGGTGTATCAACTAGAAAATACAGGGGCATTTATACGTTTACTGCAAGCACCGCGTATAATGACGGTCACCTGTTAATAAATACGTAAATATTTTTGACCGAATTTGAAGAAAAAAAAGAGCCTTATCGTAGGAAGTCCACAAATAGTTTTTTGGCAGATGATCCAGAAGTGGTTTGCCGTTGCCTTCTTCTGTGTGTGAATGGAGTAATTGTTGGGATGCCACGGAGAAACCGGGGAAGTCCCCGGAGGAAAACTCCGTGTTGCCTAGACCACGGCCTTGCCCAACACAAGTTATAAATTCGGGCACCGCCGGGAATCGAACCCGAGACCCCAGGATTACAAGGCCAGCGTTCTAGCCGCTAGCCGCGTATAATGACGGTCACCTGTTAATAAATACGTAAATATTTTTGACCGAATTTGAAGAAAAAAAACAGCCTTATCGTAGGAAGTCCACAAATAGTTAGAGATATAAAATGAGAAGAAGTGTTAAGTAATGCAAGTTAATCGGATTAGAATACTAATTTTATGGCCATGAAGCGAGTTCTTCATTGCCTCTAATGTCAATTCTTTATGATATTCGTGTTTCTGAGGTTGTGTGTGAACACGTCAAACGACCGAAGTTTCAACATGTTCACTGACGCAGTATTCAAAGAATAAACGTGTCTACTCGTGGTTTACATCAGATATGTTTTCATTCGTTCTTACTTTGTTATGTTAACAATTTGTTCAAAGTTGCATTTTGAATGAGACACTTAAGCGCGTAGGAAATTTAAAGATTTCTTCGTCATTTTATAAACTTTCCTAACTAGACACGTCTTATACAAAGTGCCTATATGTTTGCTTGAAATCAAATAAATTTAGAATAATTAACAAATATGAATTTTATCCTTTTAAACGCGCACAACACAAATTTTTCAGCTGCGTTTCGAAACGCGTGTTCCAACAACTGTAGAGATATTTCCACCCGTAAACGATATGTTAAATGGGTAGGAACTTTATGAACACCCTACATTAGCTGGTCTGTTCTTTGTAGCTTTCTTAATTTACTTATTTGAAGATTTTTTCTCAGTTGTAATAACATCAAATTCCAAATTGTCAGTGCAAATTCTTACTCGCCCATGCTTTTGAGATTTGAGGTTCTCACATCTATGAAAATTTCTACATAAGTTTTCCAGGTTTCAGGACTGAAGATGGAGGCAGTAAGATCCTCCGAAACGTTGGTAACTTTCTAAAGGTCTGTTCTATGTCACAACTCAGAATGTAAACATCAGCAACACATGACTTGTAAAAATATTTCGTCCGATGCGAAACAACATTCAGCTTGATACATCGTCGTAAAATATCCACATAAATATCCTTCTTTTATGGAAGTCTATTAAGTATAAAGGCTTGATCAGATTTCCTAGCATTTGTCTGGGAAGACCTTACAATATCAAAGCATTCAGTATAATGGATAAAGGTTCGAACCCATTACGTATTGAGTGTAAAGAAGGTATAGTGTACATTGACAGTGCTCATTAATGTCAAGAATCTGGGTCTCCCTTCTATAATTAGGTAAGCTGAAATTAAGCAGAATTTCGGTGTAATTATTTCCTTTAGATGCAGTGTTTTTATTTTGGTATACAGTTAAAAACTTTTATAATTTGACCTTAAAGAAAAGTGTTACTTTCATCATGGAATTTTATAATCTTTGACCCCGCAACCACAATCTATAATCTGTTCACGTAACTAATTTTCCACTTTTCACTTACGTCGCCTTAGACTTCTTGAGTGAACCTTTTTTTCTTTGAAGGAAATTGCCCTCTTTTTTGTTGGGGTTGAAGTTGCTAGAAACTAACTTGAGACTTCTTATAAACGATGTTTCGGAGATGATACTACACCAGAATTTTTTCGCCTTTAGTAATCTTATTCGCTAACCATGCAAATGGAAACTTCTACGTCCCACAAGGTAGTTAAGTAAAACTTTCACCTCTACCCAACACTGCAGTGGCTGTTTACTTATGTTCTTAGCCGAGATAAGACGAGAAACGTCGGATTTTATAAAGACATACGTAACTTCTAGTTAAGAGCAGAGGTGGCTGAAAACTGAGTAACTCTGTATCAACAGATTAAGTCTCCTTGAAACTTTAATAAGGTGTGATGCTGTGTACTTAAGAAGAAGATTCTGTAAACTGACTGTTCTCAAAATGTGATCTGAAGATCTGACAGGTTTAAGAATCATTAGGAATGTAACACGTTCGATTCCACGTAGAGAAACGCACAATTACAAAATAATTTTATTTTCTCAGATATTTTAACTTATTTTCAAAATAATTTCGATTTATATTAATTGGATCTTTTTCATTTATGATGATTCTCGTGTTCTCTAATTGTAATGCGTTGCTAACCAATTCATTATTAGTTTGTCGATTAATGAAACAGGGAGATGGATTTTTTTTTATAAATTCTGTGTTTTAAAGGTGGAAATCGGCGAGAGGTAAGGAACGAGAAATGTCACATAAGACGTAGTAATTTTTGTGTGAATTTATAATTTTGTAAACTTAATATGTAAAAAAATAATACATGGTAATTATTAAGTATCAGAAGAAAGACAGACAGTTCGTTACATCAGTATTATTAAATGCAGCTCTCAGTATTTGCTTGATGCTTCAAATTACGTCTTCTTTTTCCAGAACGATGCTGTCTCTTTGCTGTAACAAGTAGAAATCGAAATTATTAGTAAAATAAATAGAAATATAAGTAAAGGAACTTTTACCACGATTACAGCCTGTTTGATATCTGCTTATGTGGTGTTTTCTTAACGAATAAATCTACTGGGTGACTAACTTATGGTGGAATCTCGATAAACCTCTGTAAACTAATTTGATTGTAACAATTCGTAACACAGCCAACTTAATTGCATCCTTTTTGTACTCACCTGAGGAAGGGTGCCCGTTTATTTACTAAATCCATACGCAGTGGATGGAATCTGTGGTGGCGCTGAAACAGGCGGCACTAATGGCGTCGCGGTGGATGGAAGTGGGGGCGGCGGTGCAAAGATTACCGAAGATGACGAACCGAAAATCGATGGGGGTGGAGCAGCGACAATCGATGATGGAGGAGAGTACGCTGGTGCTGGGGGCGGCGGTCCGTAAGATGGCGCTGGTGCTGGGGGTGGCGGAGGTGGTGGGGGTGGTGGTCCGTAAGATGGCGCTGGTGCTGGGGGTGGCGGGGGTGGTGGGGGTGGTGGTCCGTAAGATGGCGCTGGTGCTGGGGGTGGCGGGGGGGGTGGGGGGGGGGCGGT